ATATTTGACATGTGTTAATTATATAATTGCCCAAGAGTCATGGTTTTATTCTTTTGAAAATTATATCTATATGTATTTGGATAGAACATCTCCAGTTTACAAATTTTCTGGAATTTCTGCCTCTGTTTCCTTCAGGTGTCAACAGTAATTTCATTGAACTGGAAGTCAAGATTGCCATCTGGCAGTTTAGCCTTCCTGTGCCCTAGATTGGCAAGCCAAGGAAAGGGTTATTGTATTAGCCTGAGTGAATGATCTTGATGATTAGTAGGAAACTGAGTTGTGACTAAATATTGGGGATAAGGACTATGTCTAAAATACAGGAGGTCCCACTCCTTAAAGAATATCAACAAGAATTAATGTTCCATTATTCACACATGCACATGAAGTATTTGACCATATTCACCCTCCTTCACCCTCTCTCTTCTCCTTGTCCCCTTCACTGAGTACTTATACAGCAAGCATGACCTGTTTTAACCTGCTAGCATTCATTGTTTACATGTGCGATAATTGTTCAAAGACCATGCAGTTTCACACATGCATTTAGAGTAAGCAAAGTTAATGGAGCATTACCCCTGCAATTTGTTTATGAACCATATATAACTGCTTTTGTGTTCCAATAATGTTTGTCGATTACTTGCAGCAAAGACTATGCTGCCTTGCAAAGCTTACCCCACATACTGTGATATCATTTATACTAAAAGGTTGTGGTTAAATGGAAAGAGGATGCCATAGAAAGTGCAGAGGTAGAAGTGTGTCTTGCATGTGTAAGGTGGACATTATGCCTGAGAGAGAAGAGACAGGAGGAAGGACATGGGTGATGGGATGTCAAGCCAAATCATGTGGCTACAATGAGGACTCTTGCATGGGAGCCACTGGAGATTAATGCAGACTGATCTGCTTTGGTGTATGTCTTAAAAGGAAACGTCTGTTTTCTATCCTTTATTTCTTCTTCATTTCTCATTCCTCTGCCACTAAGTCTTTCTCCTTAAGAAGCAGTGATGGTTTTGAGAAAGGATATACCACTGAATTTGATAAGTGCTTGGTTAGTCTGATCCTTAATAGAAAGGGATGTTCTTTTACTCCATTCCATCACTTTTGAGGACCTGGATCGCCTAACAAGGCCATGTGCCTTGAAGACTTATCTATCCATTTTGGAGCAGCCTTGGCCCCTGTGTGATGCAGACCAGTGTATTACACACCTCACAATGTGTGCCTCAGAGCTTTACTCTTCTCTTTGATAGTACGCTAACTTATTGATGATTCATTTGTGCCAGCATAATAATGTACTTTGTAAATGCTGGCTCATAGTTTAAAACTTTCATATCCACACTACTTTCAGCTGAGGGAAAATATATTATTTGTTATTTTAAAATGCATTTGCATCACAGTGAGAAGATCACAGCTTTTCTTAGGCGGGTACATGTGTGATAAAATGAAAGTTATTCTGCTTCCTTTACAATGAGAATAAACACTTGTCAGCTTAAATCCTGTTGGTCTTTTTTTTCAACCCTAGAATCTTTTAGACCATTCATTCACATAAGAATCTGAATAGATGTTCTTAATGTTGCATGTACAATTTTGTGCTATTTCTATTATTCATTTTCAGTGTAAGTATTCTATATTTTGCCTTATTTTCCAATTTTTTGTCATCTGTGAAGATTGGCTTGTGATTTTATACCTTTGTATTTACAAGGTTTTCCTTTCTTAGGCATTGTAGATTATGGTGAATGCATGTAGCTAGGGTTAAGAATCAAATTGTGCTGGATATACAAACTCTAATATGAGACGATATTTAATTCATATGGCTTCTGTTTATCTGTTGATTAAAGGGTAGACATTGACTCTTTGTGATCTGGCTCTATTGGATGACAGCTAGAATCAAAAACTGGTTGCTGCTGGTGACTCATGCCTGTAATTCTAGCCCCTTAGGAAGCTGAGATCTTAGAGTCACAGTTTGAAGCCAGCCCAGGCAAGAAAGCCCATGAGGCTTTTATGTCCAATTAACCACTAAAAAGATTTTTAAGAAGAGCTATGGGCCAAGTGGTACAGTACCAACCAGCCTTGAGCAAAAATACTAGGGGACAGTGGCCAGGCCCTGAATTCAAACCTCAGTACCAGCACAAACAAATAAAACAACACAACATGCTGAAAAGGAGGTTGTGGTGTTAGCTTTAGTTATTTGATTTTGTAAGCAGTGAAGAACACATATTTCTTGAATCAGTAAAATTATACTTTAAAAAGAAAAAAATTGGTAAACATAATAAAAAGCTTAAAGTAGAAGTTGAAAGAATTTATAAGAGTATAAGACATAGGATTTAGAACCATCCCACAAGTTGGCTTCAGGCTTAAACTAGGAAATACAGTCTTAAAAAGTCCTAAATAGATTTTTTTCTTTCCCAAAGCTGAGAAGCATGATATGGAATTTTATACTGTGTTTTGGTTGGAACCTTCTTATTTGATATTAATGGAGTAAGTGAAATGTAAAATGATATTCATTAAATCTTTATTGACAATTTTGCTTCCAGAATGTGGCAGTTGCCCTCAATGGCAAAGACAAGGATATTAATGCTAACAATGTTTGGAAGGATTTTAAAAAAAGCTACAGCTAATCTGGTTTGTAGCATCTGTTTAGGACTAAACAGAAAAAGCCATAAAGAGTCTCAAGCCTAAATCATTCTGATGTATTCTTAGAGGCAAATGGTACAAATCAAAACACGTGCAAGGGCAAAGCCCCCAGTAATCCACTGTGCAAAAAAATGGTGGCAGTGGATAGTTATACAATTTCTGAATAGGGGAAATTCATATAACTTTATCAGCAGGCACAGCAGAACTTCCTTCACTCATTTTACTGGTGTTAGTTCTAATATCGACTAGGCACTATAAGCTCTGGCACACTACAGAGAATGCAGGAAAGCATGATCACTTTTTTTTCCAGAAGCTTTCAGTGTAATGAAAACTGGTAATAAAGTGTTCTTCATCAAACCATGATATTGCTCTTAAACTATTTTCTTTCATGTAGTATTGTGAAAGAAAAATAAGATCTCCAATGTCATTATAGGGGAATTAGCCACTAGTCTATGTTGTACTCCAGGTGTTTTCCCCGAGATTTTATCTGATTTGTAAGACTCGATGTGGTGCATTTATTTATTTATTTATTTATTTATTTAATGCTGAATATAGGCTAGAACCATAGAAAAGTTCAGAAGCCCTTATACCATCTAGAATGTACTGGTGTTAGTTCTAATATCGACTAGGCACTATAAGCTCTGGCACACTACAGAGAACGCAGGAAAGCATGATCACTTTTTTTTCCAGAAGCTTTCAGTGTAATGAAAACTGGTAATAAAGTGTTCTTCATCAAACCATGATATTGCTCTTAAACTATTTTCTTTCATGTAGTATTGTGAAACAAAAATAAGATCTCCAATGTCATTATAGGGGAATTAGCCACTAGTCTATGTTGTACTCCAGGTGTTTTCCCTGAGATTTTATCTGATTTGTAAGACTCAATGTGGTGTATTTATTTATTTATTTATTTATTTATTTAATGCTGAATATAGGCTAGAACCATAGAAAAGTTCAGAAGCCCTTATACCATCTAGAATGTCTTTGCCTACTTGAGTGTCTGGCAGACATATTTTAAGCTTTTTAATGGGAGAACTGAACCATACCCACAATTATATGGTAAACACATTGATTAAATATAACCATTTATCTTAGTTTGACCTTCCCAAAGTGCCTCTTCATCCTGCCGTATGTAGTGCCAGGGTTTTTTCCTAGGACATTTCTAAGGTCAGGACCATTTTGGATGGTATTTTATCCTCAGTCTTATTATTTTGAAGCAGCAGAAGAAATTAGAGCAAAAGGTAAATACTTCATCTTATTTGTTAGGAAAAGAGTTGAGAAATAAGGTAGAACATAGAGTAAAACATAAGGCATGATGCCAAAAGCATGGATTAAACTTTCCAAGGCTAGCCATTCTAATGTTTCTTGTTCAAAGGATTAACAGTGTGATTTATATAGTAGTTACTTGATTATCTATTAATGTTTTGAGAATTTACAATGTATCAGGCACAGTGCTAATGGATTTGACTTTATTTTCCCAAATCAATCCTCTGGAAATGCCATGAAACAGGAACTAGTCACAGAAGTTAGCATACTTCATCCAACATCACACTTTTGGTAGATGGCTAAGCTACTTTCTATCTCCATCGTTCATATTTGTAGTCACACTGCAATGTTTCTGTGTATGGAAATGATTCAATATTTGAATAGGTTTAGAAGGTTGTAAATACTAATTTGTAAATCCGCATCTTGCAAACATGATGATGAATATCTTTGGTTAAGGAAAATCTCCAAGGGTTAAAACGAGTTACTTCTATTCACTTTGGTTGTAAGAATTTTTCATTCATCTTGGAATGCCAATCCTGACAAAATCAGGACTAATAAATGGAATAGTTGATCTTTCACTTTAAGAGTATATTATTTCTAAGTATGTTTAGAGCTTATCCGTGCTTCATACCCAGTATCTATTTCAAATTCTGCCCAAAATCACTACTAGTAATTCTTTCTGCATTTCTTTATATCTATCTATCTATCTATCTATCTGTCTGTCTGTCTATCTATCTATCTATCTATCTATCTATCTATCTATCTATCTATCTATCTATCTATCTATCTATCTATCTATCTATCTATCTATCTATCGAGTCTCACATAGCTCAGACTAGCCTGGGAACTTACTGTGCAGTCCAAGCTGATGTTGAACTTGTGACCCTCCTGCCTCAGGTTCCTGAGTGTTGGGATTACAGGCATGCATGTTTCACCATAGCAAGTCAATTTCCATATTTCTACCATGAGAAGAACACATTTCTTTCTTATTGCAATTCTATAACCATCAATAATGTAATAACTGTAAGTATTTCAAGTTTATGAGGAAGAAAGAATAGATAGAAAAATTTATTATTTTAGTGCAAAAATGAAAATCTCTAGAGAAGTTTGTGGCACACATAGCTTTATTGAAATTGAACAAATGCTTTTTTAAAATAACCCCTTTGACAACACATGTAAAATTTAATTATTTCCATATAGTTTTACAGGTTGTCTTTTGAGTAAGCAAAAATACGTCTTTTTTTTTTTCTTACTTAAAACATGTAGCCAGAATTCAAACCACATAGCTCTGGTACCAAAAAGGCAACAGGTTATGAAAATCACAGTACAATTTTAAGATTCTTTAAGTTAGTCAAGGATATTTAAAACAATATTCACTTGGGTTGACAGTAGAAATCATGGGTCAGTTCACACTAGAAGAGTAGTTACATCTATAATGAGAGCAGAAATGCGAAGTTTAAGGTAATCTGAGCTATACCATTCAGGACACACAATCTGATTGCTGAGTGGCTGCAATGGCTAAGTCACAGTTGGGCACTTAAAGTTACACAAAAATATAGTGAAAATGGAAAAAAATACATGGTGTGCTAACTTGGATCTAAAATGAAATAGGCATTTACTGTAAGAAGATATACTAGCAAATCAACTACACAACACACAAGTTAAATCTCAAATTTACATCTAGGAAAGAAACATAATATTAAAGTGCACACCTACATAGAGATAGAGTAGAAATCTGTTCCTTGTGATTGGTGTTTATTTTTGCTGTTGTTGTTTTCTGGATAAGTAGAAATAATTTACAACCCACAAAAGGATTTTTCGGGTGAAACACTAATTACAGACATTGTAAAGAACGTAGCTCTGGAGGCTTGTTTTAAAAACGAGGCAGGATTTTCCTGAAAAAGTTTGGTCCTCAGTTCACTAATGACTAATCACTATGGTCAGATGGTAAGTACTTTCAAAGTTTGTGTGTGTGTGTGTGTGTGTGTGTGTGTGTGTGTGTGTGTTAAGCTAACTTTTCTTTACAATAATTCAAATCTAAACCAAATCAAAAGGTAATCAGCCCTCAAGGACTTGACCCTGCATATCGCATTTGATCGATGTGTCACCTGAAAAATCAATGCTAAAGACTATGGATGGGAATTATGCTCGTATGATTCTGCAACACTTTAATTTTGTGCAGTTTTCTCCATTGCCCCATATTAACTTGTCTTTTTGCATGTAGGTGCCAGGAGCCCCACCCGCATGATGCTCCCTCCCCCCTCCCTCAATCTTCTCCTCTGTCAAAGTGATATAAAGACAAATTTACTGTGTATTTACAAGCACAACACTTAGGCAAGAAGGTTCCCAGGGTCTGTAGGGCACATCTATTTCTTGTGGACATCTTCATGCCGTATGATCTTGTAGGTGATCCAGTAAAAGATGTTGAAAATGAGGAAGGCCAATGGGAAGGCAGCTCGAGATATTGTGTCAATCCTTTTTGCCCGGTCCACAAACTTCTTCTTGATGGCATCTGCATCTTTTGGGGGTTGTGGAAGCGGGTTGGCAGGTGTAGCCTTGACAGCTGTTCCGTCTTTCACTTGGAGGCAGTGACCCATTCCATAACCACTGAAATTAAAACGACTTTCACGTGTGCCATCTTCTTCCTGGGAGAAGAAAGGCAGGAAGCACAGATTGGTTGTCAGTCAAGTTTGAAGGAAGTTGCTTAAAATTCTTCAGAAGCAAAAAAGATAAATCACAGTTAGTTGGAGGTGTAGGAGACCTTTGGCATGATGAGTTTGCTTTCAAGTTGAGCTCAAATTATTCACCGAACAGATACAGTTCACTAACTTTTTCAGCTGAGAAATTAAGAGTAAGAATAATGGCTTTGTGGTCATGTTAGTTAATAAATAAACAGAAACTACCTATACTATCTTCAGTGCTAACTTCTCCCCCAATCTGGCTTAATGAATACATAGATTTTAATAAACTGTTTAACAACCAGTTCTCTGAATGCCAGTGTTATATTTCCAATCTACAGAGGGCCATTCGTTCATTTGTTCACTTGTTTATTCATATAAAAAAAACATTTAGTGAACTCCAGCTATATGGCTGGTCTGACTTAGGAGCTATTAACTTTGTGGCATAGTTATAGTCTTTTTCCTTCATTGATATTGGCTCTAATGATAATAATAATAATGTTAGCTCTATGATGAAACCTTGTTTCTCCTCTGGCATTCTAGTTTATACCAATTATAGAGCAGAGACAAAGTATTTGTGGTTTGGTGTGAATATTTCTATGATGAGTACTTTTTTTTCCAGTGCTGATTTCTAACATTGATTTCTTTGGCCCATGAAACATCTTTACAAAATTTCAGCATGTGTCAATTTAGCTGATGTCAGTGGTATCTTGTGTTGATGATTTCTACATGAATTAGATAAAAGAAGAATAATTGTATTTATTACTTGGTATAATGTGCACATAGATTGAGACACAAATATATGCGATCTGGGCATGTAGTTGAGTCAAATAAAGGGGTCAGGTGGTTGGATGTGTTGAAATATTGAGGTTGATATAAGTTCAGTTCTAAATAGCTATTGGTTGAGTCATCATCTTTTATAACTAGGTTATTCCCTCCCACAACATGATCCAACTCTTTGCTGCATTCTTTAATGCTTGTGTTTCCCACAGTATGAGGAAACTCAGAATTCATTTTATTTAATCAATTTAACTGCATGTGATCAATGTCTTCAGCTACATGTAATTGTAACCCCTCTGTAGGGTATTTTCACTATATATATATATATATATATATATATAGAGAGAGAGAGAGAGAGAGAGAGAGAGAGAGAGGGAGAGAGAGGGAGAGAGAGAAACATGTAACTTAATAAGAATGTAAGATCAAAGTATAACCCAGATGGAGTGGGAAGGACAAATTCTACCATTTGTATTCATTCATATGAGATTTGTTAGGGTCAAGAAGTTCCCAAGAGAGGTAAGAGAGAGGATGTTTATCAGCTAGTCATACTTCATAGAATACAAAATGGGAAGTAAGAGAATATATGGTTTAGACTCAGTATAGTAGATTATAATATATATATATATATATATATATATATATATATATATATATATATATATATATATATACTCAGTTGGGCCAGTACAACAGAACCAACAAAATAGTAGATGAATTACTTAGCTAGATTAGTATCCAGGTACCATTTCCCTGGGCAAGAAGTACATTGCAGCATGGTAATGAAGAAAATAGTTCAATGGATTCCTTGAGACCTTTAGTTTATGTACATTGCCCACTGTGATATAATATCTCAGTTGTGGTCAACACTAAACATGGCATGGCTTAATAGTGTATTGACTATTACCTGGAAGTAGCTTGGAATTTGAAGAGATAGAAGGTATGAATAATGGCTAAACATTTTATGTCACCCTTTGCCTTGCACATCCAGCCAGAAAAATGGAAGACTTGATATAATTGTAGTTCTTCATAGTGAGTGCATCTAGTATTACCAATAAAAGACACTGATTATACTTTAAATCTGCCCATTTAAAAATCAAAATATCAGCCAAAGCTCATTTAAAATGTAATTGTGAAAGTATGAGTTTATATAACTATTCTCTTCATTTCTTTTATTTATGTTGGATTGTCCTAACAGGCTGATTCAATGTGCACTGTCTCATGAGTAATAAAATGTAATGAAGACTACCAATTAATTATTGGCTGTTGACTATGTGGCAAGCATTGTGCTAGGCTATAGGAGACAGTAAAGTTGAGCAAGAGCTTTTATCTGCATAGAATGCAGTGGAAGAGGTTAACCTAAAAGCATTCTGTTACAAAGAAGGTGGCAAAAATAGTCCTCCTGACATCTGAATATTTGCATGTACATAACTGTATCAACCAAGTAACAAACACTTAAATTTGACATTGATTCAGTTGCTAAATCTAATTTATTTTTCTCTGTGTGGGAATGGTAGATTTTATGGATGTAAAAGTTTCAAATAACTAAAGTTCTAAAAATGTGGAATAAACAGATACATTAATCATTATGGTGTCATTATAACCATCTGAAGACTTAGTGCTTAGCAATCAAGAAAGTACACATTATGAGGAGGGGACTTGCTTGTCACATGGATTATAAACAACCTTGGGCTTTGTAACCACCATTAATTGCTAACTAAACCTCCTCATCCAATATGTGGGTGAAGCAGAAGTGGGGTTTATTTAGTAAGGAGAGATCCACACAAGGAATTTGACTCTTTTGGTCTTGGCTTTCAATCTGAGGCTTACAAACTATGTTGGTCTTGGGCAAACTACGCATTCTTTCAAGAACCTAGAGTATTTGGGCCAAAAAAATGTCGAGTGCCCTAAAGCTGTTGGTCTCAGCTTTGGAGGTGGGAGAACTTTTAAAAAATATGTGTATGCTTGCCTTTCCTTCAAGCCCCTTAGAGGCCAACTGCATCAGACTCTAGGAATGGAAATATAGCATCCATATGATTGAAAGAGAATCTAGTGACTCTAATGTAAAAGATCTGAAACCAATGGCCTTGATAAGTTCTAATGTCCATCTCTAAAATATGCAACATATTCTATACTATTAAGTCTAAAGTTTCTTTTCAAATGGAAATAATCCCTGAAATACAGTTTCCTTTATTTGCCTAAATGAATTGTTCTTTTTCCCTTTCATGTCTGTAGAATCCCATAAATTGCTATTCTCACATCTAAAAAACATTTAGAAACCCATGATTAAACATTTAATTCACTGCTTGAGTGAGATAATATTCTTTTAAGTTCCTCATCCCCTAAAGACATACAAATGGTGGTTAGCTAGTAGCCCATTTTAGCTCATAAAACAGAAAGAATCCTAAATATATGCACCCATGTTTCTTTTCATACTGACTCATTCATTTGATTTCTATAGCCTTCCCCACATACTGTGAATGGACAGCTGAAGAGATTAACACATTCAATTAACTACTAGAGTTAGAATAGAAGGATGGCAGGTTGGAATATCATTATATTGTTCATTGTCATGCAAACTGTGGGTTCTTAGTAAACATTTCCTGAATAATGAACAAAATGGAAATTTGGGACAGTTTTCCCTATGCTGGAAAATACTTCCCTCATTTGTTCAACAGCATTTCAAATTATGCTTCTGAGCATAGTTACAGTTAATTAAATCAATTCTTTAAGATTCTCTACCACAAGAAATAAATCCGTTGTAGGTAGAAATTATCCATTTAATTCTTCCCATGTAGGAGATATAAATGTTAGTTTAAGGGTCTTATTTACCAGTATGTCTCATTCAATGCCTTTTAAATATAGAACTTAAATTATCCCCATCAAATGGGATGGTTTTGATTCTGAACACGTAACTGCAACCAATTTGAATATTTTGGTGTTTTACCAAATGACTAATTAATTGCCTTTCTAACAGCTTCAGAATTGAATGTTGTGGCAGTATGGCAAGATTCCTAAGGGCAAAAAGGAGATGAGTTTGAGTCATGGGCAAATGAAGCTAAAATACGGAACCATCTTGTAGGCACAGAGTAGTTGGGGATCATTCCTAGGACAGACAGGTTCTTCCAGTAAGCAAAGAATTGTAGGCATATATTCTGCACTTTTCCTAATTAGAGAGGGACCCAGTAAATCATTGTTCCTGATCCAACCTCTCCAGTAAGTAAGCAGTAATCACCTCTAGCTGATCCTGTTTTGTTATTCACTAATTAAATTCCTACAGAAAATGAATCATCTGATCAGTTGCGCTTCTCGTAATTTTTATGTTCCTCTCTGATAGGATTTCCTCAAAGCGTATCTGCTGTGGGAAGTTCTGCCATGGCAGTATGTCATTCAGTTTGAGATTTACTATCTATTTTTACTTATTTTATCTCTTTTTTTACTTATAAAATGTAACCCATTCTTGTGCTTGGATAATTCTTATTTTGATGTGAAAGTGAACCTAAAATACACCAGAATTTCTTTGTATTAAATTGGTTGTCATAAGAAAATAATCTTAATATAAGTAAAAGGAGGAAGAAATAAGGCATTCCTAAAAATTTAGGTTGGAGAAACTTATTTCTGTTACATTTCTTACCTAAATTCATTTCTTTTCATTTTTTTGTAAGGGTGTCAGGGGTGGTGGTAGAGTGCTGACATTTGAGCTCAGGGCTTCACACTTATTAGGCTGGTACTCTACTACTTGAGCCATACCTCCAATACTGTTTGGTGGTGGTTATTGTTGAAATAGGATGTCACTTCCCTCTGACATGTACAACTGAGCAATACTTTATAGATGAGTTGCTGGGGTCACAGGCACACACAACCAAATCCAGCTTCCTTTTGTAAAGATGGAGTCTTACAGATTTTGCTGCCCTTTTCTGCCTATCTGGCCTGACATCATGATCCTCCCATTCTCAGCCTCCCATGTAACTTGCGGGGGCAAACTTACACAAGTTTGCCTCACAAACTTGTCTGCCCAGGCTGGCCTTAAACCATGATACTATGCATGGTCTTAAACTTCCATATAGCTAGGATTACAGTCATGAGCCAGTGCCTGGATTCAACTAGTTTCTTTGACTGGACTGAATTGCCCTTTTTCTTGGAACAGAAAATTGTTCAGTTGGAACCAAAGGTTGTAGTGAGCTTCAATA